ATCCTGAGCTGCATCCAAAGGAGAGTGACCAGCAGGTCAAGAGGTGATTCTTCCCCTCTACTCTGCTCCCGTGGGACCCACCTGGAATACTGCACACAGCTCTGGTGTCCTCAACATCAGAAGGACATGGAACTGTTGGAGCAAGGCCAGAGGAGGCAATGAAGTTGCTAAGAGGACTGGAGCATCTCCCTGTGAGGACAGGCTGAAGGAGTTGGGGCTGTTCAGCCTGGAGAAGAGAAGACTGTGTGGAGACCTCAGAGCAACTTTTCAATATCTGAAGGGCCAACAAGGAGCCAGAGAGGGACTCTGTGTTAGGAACTGCAGTGACAGGACAAAGGGTAATGGGTTCAAACTGAAGGAGGGAAAGTCAAGGTTAGATGTAAGAAAAAGGTTTTTTACTGTAAGGGTGGTGAGACACTGCCACAGGCTGCCCAGGGACTTAAGGATTAACATGACATGGTTTCTTCTCTACAGTAGAAAGGTGGAAAATTGCTCTTCTGTAGCACCTTTCTATTCTGGAGTATCACAAAGTGATTCAGTCACTGGGTCTGTGAATCACTTCAGCCATCTGTTGGTGGGACAGCATCCATGCTGGATGCTGCAGAGCAGACAGGTTCCCAGCAGTTTGGATAGGAAGTTTGTAAGAATAATACCTTTTCCAACTGAAAGTGCAGAGAGAGGGCAGGAAGGATGTGATTAACTTGACTGGAATTTGGCCTTGACATTAGGGATAATGCTGAGGCCTCCACACTGTTTTTCAGAAGTGCATGAGGTAAGCTTGGGGAATTTTACAGATAAGTGATAAGGATTTTGGCAGGATTTTTTGGAACTTGCTTTCAAGTCCATGCACACACACCCTTCTGCCCTTTTCTTTTTTCAGAGCCAAAAATATCCACCATACTGAAGAATCTGGCTGACCACCATGTCACGTTCTGCTTTAGCTTCATGGGAAAAGTGGCATTAGTACCATCAAGGTGCTTCCATTCAGTTTTGGAGGTGAAGGAGGGGATGGTAGTGGCAGGGAAAAGCTTAAAATATGCTGCATAGATGATGTCCTGCAGCATCTAATGGAGGTGGGATGTCTGCAACCAAGATCATACCATCCTGTAAAGAAGACATGCCAAATTAAAATACATATGTGCCTGTCCTTAGAGGTTTTGGCAGAACACCTACTGAGAAGGTTATAAAGTTTTACTGGTAGGTTCCTTAGTAGGTACCCAGTTCGCTTTACAGTCTCAATTAGAGGAAAAGTTTTGTATCTGTTGTCTAGTTCATCGTATGAAGTACCACATAGGGCAGTAATTCTGTGAATAGTTCACATTGGTTCTGTCACACAGAATCTAGTTCATAGAAGCATAGAATTTTAGGGGTTGGAATGGACCTTAAAGATCATCCAGTACCAACCCCCTGCCCTGGGCAGGGACACTTCCCACCAGACCAGGTTGCTCAAGGCTCATCCAACCTGGCTGTGAACACTGCCAGGGTTGGGGCAGCCACAGCCTCCCTGGGCAACCTGGGCCAGTGTCCCACCACACTCACAGCAAAAACCTTTTCCTAATAGCTAATCTAAATTTCCCCTCCTTCAACTTGAACCCATTACCCTTTGTCCTATTACAACAGCTCCTAACACAGAGTCCCTCTGCAGCTTCCCTGGAGCCCCTTCAGATACTGATGAGCTACTATGAGGTCTCCACACAACCTTCTCTTCTGCAGGCTGATCAGCCCCAACTCCCTCAGCCTGTCTTCACAGGGGAGGTGCTTCAGTCCTCTCATCAACTTTGTGGCCTCCTCTGGACTTTTTCCAACAGTTCTGTGTCCTTCTTACATTGAGAGCACCAGAAATGCACACAGGATTCCAGTTATCTTGCAACATCCTCGAGTCTTGTTTTGGAAAAGTCATCCTGATACTTCTCACTTAAGACTGTAACTGCTTCTATTTTCTTGCATCCTGCTTTTGCAGGACCCTACACCTTTGACAGGGTTGTTGATTGAACCTGTTCCAGCATCTTGACTTAAAAACTTGCTCCTGCCAGATAAAAGGTACCTTCTTAGTTCTGTATGACCAGGGACAAACAGCAGCTTGGAGGGCAGTGTTTGTCACCTACTGGGGAGAAGAAAAGCCTCTGAAATTTTAGGAAATAGAACCTATGCAACAGTGGTGGAGGAAACCAGGCCATGTTTTCTGACTCTGACCTCTCTAGCCTGGCAGTGCTGCCTGCATCCTGAGCAAGGTGCACTGCTTGGCTTGGAGCAGGCTGAAAAAAGCTGGGGAAAGGGGAAAACCTAAATGGGAAGTAAAATCTTCTTGCCTGCAGAGACCTAACATAGTTTCATTTACTTCACAGTGAACTAAGTGCCAAATCAAAAGTATTGCAACTGCAAATAGTAGAAGATGGGAAGACGGATAGTAAGTATTGAAACTGAATTACTTTGCATGATCAGCTTGTGAGCTTTGCTGTTGACCTAAGTCCTTTAATACTGGGTAGCTGAAGGAGAAGCTCTCAGATTTCTGCTGTGCTCTGCTGACCTGTCCTGGCAGTGAAACCAGGTGTGCCTCAAGCTTGGCAGTGGGCAGCCCTGAGGGGACAACACCTATGGAAGGGAAATCAGCTGAAAACAGCCAACCAAGCTTCTACAGAACACACTGGCTGGCAGAAATTTACAACTTTAGGTTGTATTTTTAAACTCTCTAAGTGTGGCCTTAAGTGTAGGTCCCAGAGGTCAAATCCATGGCAAATCATGGAGTTGCTGAGCAACACTGATTGACCTGGGTTGAGTGATGCCTATATACACGTTTACTTCCACCAGTAATAGTGGTGGAAGAGAAAACACACTGATCAGGTGCCTTTGTCCTGCTCTGGGTTAAGGTTAAAGAGAAATTTGGTGTTTTTTTCTGGACTGTCAACATATTGAGCCTTCCATGTTATGATATCCTATATTTTTCAGCAGACCCACTGTGAGCCTTTTTGGTTTCATGTTTAGTTTTAGAGGTTGTTCTCTGGCTGAAGGAGAATAATGAGTCTTAACCCTAAACCCTTACTTTTCAAGCCCCAGAGGCTGCCTAACAATTACCAGGTATAAACCATGTTAATCCTGGTTATACTGGATTAAATATAAAACATGGGGCTGAAACATTTTTGCTACTTGATTCTGTTGTTGCAGAATATTTTTTTAATTATCTAGATCTGCAAAGTAGTTCTATACCTTGCATATGATCTGTGATTATTGGAGAGATTGGAAAGACAAATAAATGTAGGCAAAAGCTTAAAAAATATTCTCAGATATGGATGCTATTTTTTAACAAAAATCTGGGATCTCTTTAGAGTCAGCAAATGTATATTATATTGTCTCTTGCACAAAGTTTAGTCTTGCCTGTACCTAAGCATCTTTAATAATGGGTCTTTCAAACAGCAGCAGTAATGTTCCACATCCTACTGAGAGTGTAACTATCAGCCTGGTTTCCTGAAGAAAAAGGTCCCAGTGGATTACACTGACAATTGCTTTCCTTCCCCTCTGCCCACCCCCCATACCATCTTAGCTGTTGTTCTCCCAAAAATTTGAATAGAAGACTCAAAGTTCAATCATATTAATGAGCAGAGAGCTGAGTAATGTGAATATAAGGTAGATCCCTACTTGTCTTTGAAACTAGGATTTAATCTCTGAAATCTTGCGGTCCCTTTGCTCGAATCTAGTGTAGCTGATAAAGTGAGGGGAGGAACAAGAGAACTGCTGAACTTACACTAAAGTTCACATTAAGAAAGACTGTTATTATGATGCACCAATTTACCAGGAATCCAGAGGTTCTCTGAAATGAAAGATTGCAGGTAGCTGCTTCTGGAGATTCTTCAATAGGAACATTTCTAATGGGAATATTTCTAGTTGTTTTGTTTTTCACTAAACATTCTCCATATGCAGGGGAAAATAATGACTAGAAATAGTAGCAAATAAGTAATGTTTCATGTCTCCATTCTTTCCTGTTGCACAGTATTAGGCCAGGCTGTGGAATAGTCATAAAATGGAAAGAAAACTATGAAAACTGCCAGGGTTTTGCCTTGTGATGTAGAACCAGTTCTTGCAATTAGCTACCTCTGCTCTTCCTGCTCCTTTCCCATCTTCTCTCCCTTAAACAGACAAACAGCTCAGGTGTGCACTGATTTTGTTGCTTTTATTTCTTCTAGGCGCTTTATCCATGAACGTGACTGTACCTCTAGACTTGTTCAGGAAACAACCTTCTGGCCAGCAAAGCTTTGCACTGAACAGCAGAGCCAGTGAGAGCAGTTCAGAGCCAGGGCCTGGGCTGGGATCCATTAGTGCAGAGGTACTGCCGGGTTTGGATGGGTTTGTGGTGGATCTTTTACTTTGGGAAGTACTTAAAATGCTCATTTTGTGCTTTGGGCTTGTGGCCGAGTCAGAGTGGCCTATTTGATTGCACAGGATTTGTGTCTTGTCGAAAGAATTAGCTCTGGAGTTTGGCTCGAGCAATTAGCAAAAACTAAGAAGCACTAGCTTGAAATAGTGTCCTTCTTGCTTGACTGTGTTTCTAAGATGACTTTTTTTTGGTGTCCATAGTTCTCTTTTATAGAACCCAATGAACTGAAGACACGGCAAGTCTTTTCTCCAGTGCTGGCCACTAAGATAGCAAAGGATCGCACTGTGATGCCCTGTGGGACTGTGGTCACTACTGTCACTACTGTGAGATCCAGACCTCGTCTGGAAGGGAGACCATCTTCACTGAGCACAGGTGAGGAAGTCCATTTCTTCTTGTGTTCACTCGTAGGGTTATCCTTGAGCACCGGGAGGAGTGTTGGGGAATGGGATGTAAGGAAGGACACTGTTTCCCAGACTTCTCTGATGTGTTGGAGTGAGGTTGTTTTAGGTATTCTCTAGAATCAGGTTTCTGATTTTCAGGAAGCCTTGTTCTTACAAGAGGAACAGTCAGTGCTTCTTTTAATACAGATTGTAAAGCTTCACAAGAGTGTGATAATGCAGGAGACCTTGATTTTGGTGGATGGTTTTTCTCATGACCAATGTATCAGATTGTTAGAGTGTTTGCTGATGACAGACCATCCTGGGCCTTCTAACCTTGATCTGTATTATTTCTACTGGATGTTGTCTGGTGGCAAAGTACATTTCAGCATGTCTTTCAGGAGTAAGTTTTCCAATTCTTCCTGGGATAAGTGTGAAAGTGAAGCCTGTGAACACTCTTGATGTGAAGTCTCACAAAGAGCTTCATTCTTTTAAGCTGTAAAGGCAGATCTTTTTCTTGAGTGGGTGTTGTCTAGCATGCTACAGTAGAATGTTTAAAAGCAATAAATCCCTACACTTCACTGACCTTTAGGGGTCAGGTTACCATAGAACATGTGTTGAGAATTGATATTAAACAACTTTCTCAAATGCTTATGATTTGAACAGGCACAACAGGTATAATAAATTCTTATTAGTGACATCAAAAATGTCTTGGATAGTTCAAATAACCAAAAAACTTGATCCTCAGATTCACCTGTGAAAACTCCAGTTAAAGTAAAGGTGACTGAAAAGGATTCCTCTGTTGAAGATACTCATTCTCATGGTGCTCCAGTCAGCAAAACTTTGTCATCTTCAGATACAGGTAATACAAGTGTTTGAAGCTGCTAATGAGAATGAGTCTTTCAGCTGCACATGGGATTAATGTGATCCTGTTAAAATAACAGCCAACCCATATGGCTACTGCCTGTCAACAGCACGGAGAGGTTTGTGTTAGCAAGCACTGTGGCTCGGGGTATAGCAGCAGAAGTCTGGTTTTAATTGAAGACTTAAATTAGTAGTTTTGAATAAATAGCAATGAGCTGTGGTTCGGAGAGGGAAGGTGGCTGCAGAAAAGCCATGCTGTCTTTTCTCTGACTTTTGAACAAAAGATTTCTCCTTTCATAAAGGCTTGGGGGATGCTGCACAAAATTAACACCCTGTGACACACACCTCTGAGGGCATTGTGAAGTTCCCTCTGTCTGAAGAGAAGGCAGAGGTTGGACTGATGTAAGGAGGAATTAATTCTCTTCCTAGCCCTGCCACTGGGCTTTTAGGGGCTACTGCAAATACCCAATCCTGCTGTGCCTGTTTGTCCACCTCCCTAAGACACCTGGCAAACAGCTGAAGTGCCTTCTCAGTGCCAGGGGGCATTGGTAATAATAACTCAAAGTATAAATTCACTTTGAATTGTGTATTAAACCTGATTTTGACTCTGGAGCATTTTACCTTTCTCAAGTTGCAACTCTGAATCTTCAGCATGTTTTTCGTGGCATTTTTCCTACCTCTAGGCTAAGAAATGCTCTGATACCATGAAGCAGCATGGTAATTGGGGGTAATGGGTTCCCACTGAAGGAGGGAAAGTCTAGGTTAGATGTGAGAAGAAAGGTTTTTACTCTAAGGGTGGTGAGACCCTGGCACAGGTTGCCCAGGGATGTGGTGGTTGCCCCGACCCTGGTGGTGTTCAATCCAGGCTGGATGAGCCTTGAGCAACCTGATCTAGTGAGGAGGTGTCTCTGCCCAGGGCAGGGGGTTGGGGCTGGATGATCTTGTAAGGTCCATTCCAACCCTTAAATTCATCTTTTATTGCACTAATGTCACAGTAAGATACTGCTCAGTTTAATTAGCACTGGTGCTGTTCGTGCCTCTTTTGTTAAAACTCTTAACAGAAAAGCCCACCCCAGACAATTAAATATGGGGATTTTTGTCTTGTTAACTTTCTAAGCCTTGTTTGTTCCTAAGCTTGATGAATTTGATCAGTGTGTATTTGCTGTGTCCAAAGTATTTGTATATTAGGTGCCAGAAATGACCATGCTTAAAAATAAACTTGTGTTTGTCACTAAAGAACATTTTATAAAGAAGGTTTTATATTCCTGTGCAATGTTTGGAGGGGGAGAGAGGGTGCACTTAATAGGCTTTGGAGGCAGCTGATAAAGAGCAGGGTGACTGCCACTTTGCTTTTCCCATCCTATCATAGTGCCATAGCAAATCTGGAAATGCTGAGCAAGGATGTCTGGGAAAGGAACAAAATAGCTACCTAAAGAATTAGTATGGTGTGCCAGCTTTATACCACGTTACAGCTATGACTGTGATGTTTGATGTTCTGGATCATAGTCATCACAATGTAACGATGCATTGAAATAACTGGATGTTTTGTCTAGGCTTCCAGAACCTCCTTTGTGCTCAGAACAAGGTTTCAAAGTGCCACTTTAGGACCTTTTCTCCAAAGAATGGGTAACAGAAGGGAAAGACAAGACCCAAACTGGGTGGTGAATTGGAAGATGTTTGCTACGCCTGTTCTTTATGCCATTTTGCTGATGATTTCTGAGCAAACTCTGCCTCTCTCTGCTCTGTTTTATTCCTGTTTTTCTTTCTTCCCTCTGAAACAATCCTTTCTTTTCAGAGCTGCTGGTACTGAACGGCACCGATCCTGTGGCAGAAACAGCCATTCGGCAGTTGAGTGAGTCTTCAAAGCAGAAGCTGAATTCTCCTAGAAAGAAAAGCACTGTTATCATATCAGGGGTGTCCAAGGTAGGGCAGAAAACAACACTTACATTTCATGTTTAGTACTGTAAAGCCTTTGCTCCACTGACTGACATTAACATGGGTTCTGCTGTTTCTGCAGAATCTAGGTCTGTGTGCCAGAATGTTTCTGGAACAGTTTCAAGTTAAGCCAAATCAGGTTGTTGGGTTTTGATTGTTAGATTTGACAGCCTGATTAGAATGCATGGTGTCCTTGGATAGGAGTGGGATGATCAGGGATTTGGGAAAACCAGTTTAGTTAAGAACAGAGGATAATTAGTCCTTCTCTAAGGAGAGGGACTCTATGGAAGTGTTTCACCCATGTAGGGAAGATACAGAGGAAAAAGTATGAAATTTTTATTTTTTTTTTTAAAGCTGTTAAACCAAAACCCTCTGAAAAACTTCCTGGTCCTCTGGGCTCTGCTCCAGAGGGAGGACAAACAAAAGACTTTCTCACATGGTATATAACATTCCTCCAGTCTTTCTTCATCCACAGCCTCAGTCCCCCTCTGATGTTTGGTGCCTGCCTGTAGTCCTTTTCCTACTGGCTACTGCATGGAATTTTGCTGTCAAGTGTTGCTGTTAGGCACAGGACCCCTAAGGAGCTCCAAGTGAAAGCCAAATCAGAGGGCATGGGTCCCCTCAACATCACTGTGCTGTGATGAGAGGATAAGTTGCCACAGTGCTAGATGGATCTGCTTAGGAAATGAAGGCACTGGGACTCTGTGGATTTGTCTTTGGCTCATAAAGATGACTAGAAATCCTCCTACAAGATGAAATGCTTAGATGTTTATTTTCTGAAAAGGATCAAAAGATGGTCTGTGTGTGCTGGTGCTTCATCACAGCAGCACACGTAGGAACGAGTCCTGTGATTTGTAGTGGGGCCAGGGATAGGTGGGAGGAATGCACTTAACTATTTTTTTTCATTCATTTGGCTTTAACAACATGATTAAAACGTGGCCATATGCTCCTCTCCTTTAGTAGAGCTAAGGAAGATTCAGGTGGTTTTCTGATAGTCCTGAGCAATACAATTAGAAGTGTAAAGAGGAGAAAAGAACTTTTACAGGGAGACTTGTTTTTTTTCCCAGCACAATGGCTTGTTATCAGTGTTGTCTCTTATTTTTGTTGGGCAGACCTCTTTATCTCAGGACCATGAAGCTTCACTGATGAGGGACTATGCTGCAGCCATGGACAGCTCCTACAACGCTGAAGAGCAACCCACTGTGAAGGAAGCTGCTGATAAAACCACCTCTGATGAAAAGCTGTCATTAGGTGCTTCAGAAACAGTACCTGATACTGTCCCACAACAAAGTACCCGTGAGGCTTGGGGTTTGGAGAATGGCAGTCAAAAGCAGGACACCAGTACACTCTTAGACCAGACCTCTGAAGAAATATCTGTGAGCTTACTAAGTGTTTCAGAAACTGGGAGCAAGAAAAAATCTAAAGGTATGTGATCTTCAACTTCAGTGACTGACTTGCTTTCTCTATCTAATTGGCAGTTATCATGCAACACTGTAGTAGTTCATCTTTTTTTATTGATTTTTTTGTCCTTAAACTCCTTGTGATTATGGTGTTGGTTGAAGCTGCCTTAACAGCAGCCACAAGGAGTGCTGTCCACTGGCTCTCTGAGCCAGCTCAGGCTCCCTCACACCTCCCCTTCATCAGGAAACTAAAGCTCACCCTTGGAAGTTGAAGGGCAGCTCACTACACTCAGATCAGCTATGTGGGAGAGCAATAACTAGCCACACTGTCAATTCCTTGATGAAAATTGTGTCCTTGTAAACAAGGACTTGTTCTCTATTAGCAGCCCCGTTACTAAGGTGAAGAGGGCAGGGATCCACCGTTGGTTTCTGACACATTCCTCCTTCACGTTTCTGAGCACAAGACTCCCCTGCCCTCACTCAAATGTGTGTTCAGGAAGCACTGCAGCTAAAGCAGAAGGGCAGTGTCTCTTAAGTGCCTTGTGAGCAGTTCCTCCCTTTTCATTGATTCCATTAGTATGTAGTTAGCTAAGCAAATTGGAAGAAAAGGCAATTTAATAAGTAAATAAGGCATCAGATTATTTTGCTTATGCAGTTACATACCTGAATAGCTGCAGTTTGAAAATGTCCTAGGATTCTTTGTGTTTCCTTTACAAATCCCCTAACCTCTGAGGCTGCAGCACTGTTTTCTGGCTATGTGCTAGAAATATATATATAGCTGTTAGGATGTCTGACAGGGCAGTGGACTGTGCCCCAAACAGGCACACACCAGTCTCATGTGCTGCACCTGAAAGGTACAAAAAATAGTGTTTTTCACCATTCCAATCCTCTTTTGCTTTATCATTTTCTATTCTTTCCTTACCCAGAGATACTGTAAAATAGTTTACTATGAAACCTCACTGTATTACTAGATTATCAGCCTCCCCCGTGCAAGGCAGACAGTGGAGCTCTTTGTCAGGGCCCTCCCTTAGAGCACTGAGTTCTTTGGCCTTCTCACAGCTGGTGATAAGGATGGTGCAGCAACAATCCCTGTCACACAGATGGTCAGGCCCTGGAAAGCTTTGGGTGTGTTTGGAGTGAGGGCAGGGGGTTAGTTGGCAAGGGTTAGTTGTCTCATTTTGGAGCCTGGAAAAGTCTAGGAAGCTCTATGAGAGACTGTGAAACCTCTATGCTCTTCTTTAACATGTTCTTCTAAGACAAGCAAGTGGAAGTTTGTATGTGAATTGTTGTCTAGTTGTTTTCCCCTGTGCTGTGTGTTGCAAAGAGATTGAGCTGCTAAAGATCCTGTTCACACAATGTAGTATGGGGCTGCTAAAAACTGCCAAGTGTCTCTGATTGAGAGAGTTGTATCATCTTGAAAAAATACTTTAAAAAACTGGCTCAAATCCCTTTCTTTATACACAGATGTCTTTGTGGAAGTCTTGAAGCTCTGCTTTGTCACAGCTGAGTAGCTTTTATGGAGTGAGATAGGAAAACATTTCAACTCCTCTGCCTTCAGCTAGCTATGAATAGTTCAAGGTTTCTGTTTGGCAAAAGCTTGCCCTAAAAAAACCAAACTATAAATGCACAAATAGCAACAAAAAAAACCAAACCAAACCCCAAACACAGCAACAAAAAAGCAGAACAAAGCAAACAAAACAGCTTCTGCTTTAAAAAGCTTTGTGTCTGTAGTAATGTCTTAGGGTTAGCACTGTTTTGTTTTTTTTTACTCTTGCATGTTTTTGTTTGGGTTTTTTTTTACCTTTCTGACTTCCTCTTTCTTACCCACTCCCTTTTATAAACTTAAGAGGACTACTATGCCAACCAGAATTAATTACCTACACAGTAAGTTATTTTTGTCTTCTTTTTTTCCCCCCTAAGAAAATGTAGCTTTACAATGGTACACTCATTGTAAAAAATGAAGCAAAACATAGTTTGGCACCTGTTTTCTTCTTCCCCCATCCATTTCTTTCCTCCTTCCAAAATTACCTTCCTGTGCTCAAGTGTCTTAGCAGACTAATCTGCTGTAACAAATCATCCTTCTGGTGGTTGTGCTGTCCAGGTAGGTCATGCAGAATGGACAGCAAGAAAGACTTGGAGAGATTCTCTACATTCCTAATCTCTCTCCACCTTGCCCATGTATCTGGTAATCAATCAAAATCTGCTTCCGCAAACCATGTGTGACCCCATAACTGGATATACATGCACAAAAAACTTCATTTTAAAACCTGCTGCATAGTTTTCTAAACATCTTGTCTAGCCTAACATGCAAATCTACTAGGACCTCAGCAGGTATTTACCAAACCACCTGGGTAAAAACTGTTTTGGAAATTGGGAAGGAATGGAAAGAAGTGATCTCTCTTCACACCCTTGTAGATGTAGAAGGAAATCTTCATTCATTAACAGAAATGAGATTCAGAAGTGATCCTAGCCCTGAGCATTATCAAAACACCCTGAACTAGTGCAGAGAAGTCTGTAAAGACCAGTCAGTTGGTACAGTGTGATGTGCTCTCTGCTTATCTCCTGGCGTTAGGAGCAGAGTTGACATATGGATCCTGTTGAATTCCAGAAGTAAGCATGCAAACAGCACGAGCATTGCCAAGCTGATGATCTGCCCTGCCCTGCCTCCTCAGCAGGGGTGCATGTCTCCACAGCAGCTGGAGCCCCTGTCAGGCAGCACACACCAAACTGGCTACAGGCTGATGAGTGCCAGTGGGGACGTGGCAAGATTCCAGGCAGCAATGACCTCAGCACCTCCAGAAACACAGGGAGCTTTCATCTTGGGGTGCTGCTGCTTGTGCTGCTCTCAGAGATGTGCTGCCCACAATTTTTCAGCTGCTGAGAGTTGTCCCAGGTCACCAGCAAAATATTTGCAGCATTCTTGGTTCGGTTCTGTTTCCTAGTATGGAAAATCAGTCCGAATCATAGAATGGATAGGACCAAATAGCTGCTTATGGATAAATCCTTCTGTCCTACTCCTGTTGGCACAGCTTCAGCTGCAGCTGCCAGGGCTGCTGGGCAGAACAGCTGCCTGCTCAAACAAGAGCTGCACAGCAGCAAGTCCTCATGGATCCCCCCCAGCCTTTGCACATCAACAACTGTTAGTGTCCTGGGGTTGAACACTGTTTCTTTTATGCTGTTGACAACAGCTTGAAGTGGTACTGCCTTGCCAAAAAGATCAATCAGAGGGTGATGGGAGAGCAGTCAAGATTCAAATCCATGATTTCCAGTTGCATTCAGCTGATTTCTGCCCTTTGAGAAGAGTCTCAGCAGCCACCAGACAAAATGTGCTGGAATATCCTTCCAGGTGCTGAGTGCACAGTCCTTAAAGTACAAAGTAATAAACCCAAACACGTTTGTTACTGCTGTGGTCTGAACAGAGCAGCATCTGGCTGTGTGCAACAGAGCTGCCATGAAATACCTGTTCTGCAGCTGTTGCTGTGCAGAATGACACAGAGCCTGTGTCAGGTCCTTGGGAGACAAACATGTAATTCTAGCTATGGCACAGTAGTGCATGAAAGAACTGGTCTGTGTGTTGCTTACTGTATCCATTTCCAATGGGAGGAAAAGCAGAATTAAGGCTGTTCAGTGACAGGAATTAATAGCTGAACTGAGAAAGAATCAGGAAACCTGATAGTGGTGCAGGAGTGAGGTGTGGAAGCTTTGACTGTCCTCACATACTAGTCTGGCTGCCAGAAAGCTCCTGTGATGGCTTGCTAACTGGGTCCTCCTTTCTTCAAATTGGCTCCTGCCACCTGGGACAACACCACTACCCAGTTCTGCACAAAACCATTGCTATTTGAACACAGAGCTGATATCCTGACACCAGGCTGAGTGTCCCTGCCAGCTGCAGCTGAGCTGGCTTGCACGTCAGGCACATGTGTACACATGGAAAGGGAAGGTGGAATTTGGCAGAAAGGCTGCAGAAACAACCCAAGCTTGAAAAGAGAGGAGTGCTGGTAGCTGGTGCTGGCAACATGAGCCCCTGGTGAGATGACAGCTGCAATTGCCTTGGCTGCATGCTAGGTTTGACACGGGATCAAGGGAAGGAATATGGCAAAATAAAGCAACTCCATTTATCACAGAAGGGATTTGAGCAGATTTCTGAACCTGTTGGAAGCAGATGTAATATTATTTTTAATCTGCTTGAAGTGCATTGCTATTGCTAACAGGATTTTAAAATAGCAAATGCTTTGTGAGTGTTACTCTGGGTGGTGCTGCAGAATTTGTATAGAACACCTGCTGCCTGGCTCATATGGGCTCACTACACTTCCAGCTACTGCTCTCCTTTCCCTCAAATTAATATGCCACCTCCAGGTTGTGCATCACAGGCTGATATTTTCCTCCTTTGATCTCTGCAACAACAAAGAGTAACATTATTTCCTCTATTATGTTCTTTTTATAAAATACTTTTTATTTCCATTGGTTGGAAAGGTTGGATATGCCTCTTGGACATGTGAGAACCCAGTGGACAACCCACACCAGTCGCTGTGCATGTGTGTATGACCACTAAAGTAGCTTTCAGAGGAGCATTTGAAACTAAGAAAGTGTAGTGAATGAGATCTTCCCTGAGATGTGTGGCTTGTTCTTGAGAAGCTGAAATCAGAGGATCAGCTCTTTTCAGTGGGGCTGCAGTTAAAGCTGAGCTTCAAGGGGAAAGCAGCCTGTTCTTTCTAAAGTGTCCTGCACTTCTGCTTTTCCCTTCCACAGGTGGCATCTTGAAAAAAGGTGCCAAGCTCTTTTTCCGCCGGCAACATCACCAGAAGGATCCGGGAATGAGTCAGTCGCACAATGACCTTGTGTTCCTGCAGCAGCCTCTGCCAGAGGAAAGCCACAAGAAGGGGGGCACACTTTCCCGTGTGCTGAGCAAAAAGCTCCTTTCCAGACACAAAAGCAAGAGCAAACTGAATGGTGCATTGGGAGAACAATGAGCATAAGACTGAACCCTCTCTGGTGGGATCCTTCCACTTTAGTTAAGCGTTTGTTTACAGAGCAGTACTAGAGAACACAAATACAGCTGCTGACTTGCATAAAGGGACCTTCACTAATACATTGCAGTTTTTTGTTTATTTTTCCAAAATGCTTTTTCTGTCTGATGATGAAGTTGCTCCTCCAAATGACAAGCAGTGCTGATTGTATCAGGACAAGTTTTGGAGGACTGTGTGGTTTATTGTAGAAGATGAGGGAGGATTGGAATGGTGCAGGTGGGACGAAGAAGGCTGCTGGTATTCTGGGGTACATTAGCAAGAGCATTGCCAGCAGGTCAAGGGAGGTGATCCTGCCCTCTACTCAGTCCTGGTCAGGCCATGTCTGGAGTGCTGTGTCCAGTTCTGGGCTCCTCAGTCCAAGAGGGACATGGATCTCCTGCAGCAGGTGCTGCAGAGAGCAATAAAGATGATGAAGGGACTGGAGCATCTCTCTTACGAGGAAAGGCTGAGGAACTTGGGCCTGTTCAGCCTTGAGAAGAGAGAAGGACCTTATCAATGTCTGTCAGTATCTGAAGGGAAGGTGTCAGAATGTGGATCAGGCTTGGTGGTGCCAACCAACAGGACAAGAGACAACAGGCAGAAACTGATGCATGGGAAGTTCCACCTGAATACGAGGAAGAATTTCTTAACTGTGTGAGTGACTGTGCACTGGAACACATTGCCCAGAGAGGGTGTGGAGTCTCCTTCACTGGTGATATTCCAGAGCCAACTGGACACAATCCTGTGCCATGTGTTCTGGGCTGACCCTGCTTGAGCAGGGGGTTTGGACCAGATGACCCACTGTGGTCCCTTCCAACCTGACCCATTCTGTGAGGAGGACCTGGTGTACATTAATAGGGAGCTCAGAACTGAAACTGAAACCTGCTAGTGACTGAACCACTATAGAGAGAGAAGATACCACTGTGCTTCCTCCTGCAGCCTGCAATAGTAGCAACACAGGTCTCAACTGATTTCTCTAGTCAGGCTGAAAGGGAGAAAAAAGAGACCCAGATCCAGTTTGTATTGTAATTTGGAAACGGGTAAGTTTTCAGAAGCAGAGCAAAAGTGCTGATTCAGATATCCTACTGTAATAACTGTAGCCTGCTGTAATAACTGCTCAGTCCATGTAGGTGGAGAAATGCCTTTGATATTAGCCATAAATCAATAAATTATGCAAATCCTCACACTAGCATTTTGTTTAATGTTCTGTACATAAGTTGTGCTTAAAGAAACAGAACTTTTCATTTAAAGTCTACTCGAGTCTGCTCAGAAGCAAAAACTTTTACAAAGTCTTACATGTAGCTTCTCTTTGCTGTGTGAGAAGCTGCATTTGCTGATGCAAAAACCTTAGGGGCTCTAATTCCTTCTCCCAAGCACTTGTTAGACAAGTATTTTAACCATCATATCAAATGCAAAGCTAGGAGCAATAAGTGATGAATAGAGCATGGTTAACCCAACAATGCTTTTCATTAGTCAGCTTGTTTTACTTGCCAAGCACTCAGTGAGACCCTGGAAAATACAGTTGTGAGCAGAGCTTTTGAACAAATGGTAATCATTCCCTTAGTTCTGTTGCAGTTTGTGGATCTATCAGGGTTGTCATGTGGTGAGTGGTTGGTTGGGTGAGTTTTTTACCTCTTTCTCCTTGCTAAATATGCAGCTGGATCCTTTGAATTAAAAGGAAAAGCTGGTGGAAGAAAAGGCAGAGGTGTTTTGGCTATTAAGAGTAAAATGTCAGTATTTCACAGGTACCATCTTTCGTGCTTACCTGTACTTTTCCATCATCTACAATCCTGCTGAGGACAAAGGACCAAACCTGTTCTCCTTAGCCAAGAAAAACATCCATTCATTCCATCTAAATTACTGATCTGAATGGATGATAGATTTGTGCCTGCTTTGCCAACAGTGATTTCCCCTCCAGCCCCTTTCCTCCCTTAAGCTATCCAGCACTTTGGCAGATATTTGGGCTTTCAACTTGAACCATTCATCAAAAACAGAAAGTCACTGAAGAACAGGAACACATTTCAAAACTTCGGATGGATTCCTTGGTGAATACTTGTACAATGAATATCAAAGTAGAGGGGGTTTGGTTTCCTTTTTACCAAGCAAATATTAGAAGAACTGAACTGTCAAAATATTTTAACTGTTTTAAAATACTTGTTTATGTGTAACCTCCTAAAATCACTGTGGAAGTACAGCAGACCAGACTATCAAATAGTTGTATGTTTAGGCATGCTGCTTATTATGAAAACACTTGAAGGCATTTTAATGTTCTGTATGGTGAAAATGGGTTACAAATGAACCTTCTAGAGCTGTAATGTGCTTGAAATCCCAGCTCAGTAATACAGGTTTGTCCAGCTTGAATGTGCTTGAACACTTGTTTGGTGTTAATTTAATACAAAGTAGGTTTCTTCATTTGTTCTGCAGTGGTTCATGGTATGAGCATTAAAAGCCCCAATGTCATGTACTATCAACATACATTTTTCCCCTTGATTTTACTAGGAGCTATGTGATGGGCTAGGGTTGGGGGCAAGTCCCTGCCATGTGTAAATGCTCAGTCTTGTTTGCTGAAGGAGAAAACCACGAGGGGTCACTGAGTCCAAGAAATCAAAGTGAAACAGCTTCATGGGCAGCACACACACTGAAAACAAAGAGCTGTGCAATTGGGAATGGAGGGGCAGCACCTAGCACTGCTTGAAGCTGCTTAGATTACTGAACTGGGATTTTCACCCACAGAAGCTTTAGCACATACTGTAGAACAGGGTGGAAATAACACTGAGTATCTTGCAGAATACAAGAATATGGTTTACTCATAACTTATCCCAAAGAATATATATACACACTGAAGAAGTGGTTTCTTGGTTCCTCTTTCTTAAAGTGATCACCTAAATGCTTGTCTTGATGGTGGGAGCCAGCAATATTCTGTACTCCAAACTGTGTGAAGGTTTGGGCTCGCATGTGTTGAGAGAGAATGAATTCTTAAGCTGAGGAAAGCAAGGCATCTGGGGTAAAAAGGGAATTTTGTGTTTTACTTGCCTTCACTCCTCAGGAAAATAAACATCGTTTGGTTTGATGTTTGACCTCTATATCTGTCTGGTTTGTTCCTCACCTCTTCCTACTCCTCTACAAATAATTTATGTCCTGTTGTGAAAACAAGCTGAAGTACTAATCACAAAGGGACAACTGAGGAGCTCAGTCATGACAACCCCAAAGGCCCACAGTGTTGAATGCCATTCCCATCTTCTGAGGCAATTAGTTTGTCATTTAAGATCAGGATATCTGAGGCTGTACATTTTTTGTGTACTAGTACTTAGGGCAGTGTGAACTGGATCCAGACAATCAGCAGGAGCTGTGCTGCAGGTTTGGGTCAGGAGGGCTGGATGTGTCAACTGGATAACTAAGAAAGTGATGTATTCTGTCCAGTGCCCTATGCAGTTGTGTAAAGGATGCCAGAGGGAGACTGTCTTGGTTTAACCCCAGACAGCAACCAAACACCAAGCAGTCAGTTGCTCACTCCCCCACCAGCAGGATGGGGGAGAGAATTGGAAGGATAAAAGCTAGAAAAACTCATGGGTTGAGATAAAGACAGTTTAACAGAGGAAGCAAAAGCTGCACACACAAGCAAAGCAAAACAAGGAATTAATTCACTGCTGCCCACAGACAGGAGGTGTTCAGCACCTCCAGGAGAGCAGGGCCCATCACACGTAACAGTTCCTTGGGAAGACAAACACCATCACTCCAGATGTTCCCCCTTCCTCCTTCTTCCTCCCACCTTATATACTGAGCATGATGTCCTATGGTATGGAATATCCTTTGGGTCAGGTTGGGTCACCTATCCCAGCTGTGTCTCTTCCCAATCTCCCATACACGCCCAACTTCCTTGCCAGCGTGGCAGTGCAGAAAACAGCAAAACCTTCGGCTCTGTGTGAGCTCTGCTCAGCAACAAGAAAAACATCTCTGCATTATCAACCCTGTGCCCTGCACAAATCCTAAACACAGCCCCATACTAGCCACTATGAAGAAAGTTCACTTCAGCCCAAACCAGCACAACATTATAATGGTAGAGTGAAAGCAACAGTATCACAATAATCTATTCAATTCAACTTTGTTAACCACCAGCCCTGTTCACATTCTTTGATATAATACACAGACATTGTTCCCTCAGTCTATGGACTACCCCTGCAAAATGTCCATTAAATGTCCACAAAATGTCTGTTGCGTTCATCTAGTCCATGACTTTGGGCTCCATCTGTTCTGGTGGTCACTCAGGACAGGAGAGGTGATGTGTTGCTTGGAGTTACCAAGCACCAAATTTAGCTCAGGTCACATCACTGCTGCACCTGCACTGCAACTGCTTCTTGTCAGGCTTCTCCACTATTGGTTCAGGTGGTTCCTGCTGTAGTAATTCCTGTAACAAACAACTCAAATCATGGCTTAAACTATTTAAAGGCACATCCATTAAAATCTCCGTCCCTGGTCCTTTTGGGCCAGGTGATCTGCTGTAACATTGCAATGAACTCCTCCCCTTGTTTCCAGCCTGCTAGCAACAAGGGGTTCCTGCTCGAGTCCATCATCAGTATAGTCCACATCCTAGTCCTCCATGGGCTGCAGGGGCACAGTTTGCTTCACCATGGTCCTCACCACGGGCTGCAAAGGAATCTGTGCTTCCCCGGGCTGCAGGTGGGTCTCTGCTCTTCCATGTTCCTCACCTAACCAAGATTTGCCTTGGCCTTATTGTGAATTTTGACTGAGTAAATACTACAAGAATTTAATTTCTATTTGTAGATTAAAGCAGTAAAACTACCAAAATACCTCCAGTGTGTATACAAGCTAGGTAACTTTCTTAAAGTGACAGAGATCACTTGCAAAGTCACCTTAAAGAGGAGGAGGACTTTATCCCTAGGTCACTGGTATTTCATATCCCATTCACTCCAGGAAGAAATGACAGCCATTTCACTCCTAGTATA